GCTCTCTGGTTTCATTTAAAAGAGTCGATCATCAGATATTGTCCAAGATTAACCTTCAGGGTGGATATAGCTCGCTCACACAGAGGACCTACCCAGAATACTTTGTGGTGTAAATAAAATGGCTTCGTCCGTGTGACAATATATTTTTAAGAATTAAAAAAAAAACTAAACAACCTACAGTGTTTTTACAGACTTTATTTTACAGTTAAAATAAATGTTTATCAAATAAAATCTAATGTTAAAACTAATCATGGATCCCTTTAACAACAGTCATAAATGAAGCAAAACTTCTGAGAATTGTCCTAAAAATAGATGCTTGCAAAATGTTTTTGCTTTGAAATCTTCTCACATTATTTTAGTTTTTTTTATTTTATTGTTATGAAGCTGTTGATTAATTTCTAAGATTACTGAGTCACACTTTTGTTTTATTATCTGACTGAACCCCATCTTCCACACAGTGACAGCTGGAGACCGACACCAGCTCGCCAACGATCTTTAGCGAGAAAGCTGGTAAAGAAAATGTTTCTTTTAGCTTTTGTTTTGTTATTTTTAGCTTTCAGCTACAGATTTACTACGTTGTACTTTTAGTTATGGTTCAGTTAATTGTAGCCTTTAGCAACAGTTTGTCTAATTTAGCTACTGTTTTGCTAATTTTAGCTCTGTTCTGTTTGGTTTAACAGCTGAGCTTTCGGCACTCTCATACCAGATGTTCTAAAAGGTTTAAAAGCAGTCTTCGTCACTCACAGTGACTTTGCGTCCTTGGTAGGACTTGGAGATATGAATGCCGCTCCTGCCCGAGCCTCTGTTCTTCACCGACAGCTGAGGTTTGGTTTCACCCATCTCCCCGTCGCACATGTCAAACGTGAGAACGTCGCCACCATCCCTCGCTGCAAAGCCACACGCACAGGAGGCGGCGTGCACCAAGCTGCCGCACTCCCACTGACGGACGTGGACCTCAAACGGCCAGAAAGTGCTCTTGTAAAGAACGAAAGTGCCGATTTGATTGTTCTCGTAGAACCTGGGTGAACAAAATAAATATTAGATTAACTGTTTTGCCTGGGTGTAGATCATTTTATTATTTATTTTTATGACACAAAAACACAATAAAAATCATAATAAAGTCATTCTTCTTACAATACATCAGCAACATTATTATTCTGATGACGTTGAAGTACCTGCCATCAAAGGTTATGATGTGAGGATCAGTGAAGGAGTAACAATAGGCTGCGGGAACGTCCTTAACTGTTATCTAAAAACAAGACGTTATTTAAAACTGTATTAAATCAAAGAAGTACAAAACTAATGTGTTCCAACAAAAAACATTGGGCCTCATGCAAGAACATGTTCGTATTCTTATCCTAAATTTCTCTTACTTTTGTTCGTACGAAGGGTTC